ATTCGATTTATAATTATTGTTATACATAATAATCACCTACTTTCCAGGCATGACAGCCTACAGTGATGTGCTACGCTACACCCTACTTCAGAGGTTGGAGACTTGAGATGAATAGGCTTAAGACTAATCGCACTTGTCTAGGTGTAATCTAAACCCAACTTTCATCTCAGCTATTACATCACATTCCGTAACTTAGACAAACAAAGACTTCAGCGGACAAATTTTTTTTGGCGATATCATCCTCTGCATCCGTAAAATGTCATTTAAATGCATTTAGTGTATGTTACAGTCAGAGACGGCCCAAGTAGTTCAGTGGTAACTTCGCTGACTGAAGCACTGGCTGACATGGAATCGAAACTCCGAGGAGACATCAGTTCCCTAGAGGTTGTAGATACGCCTTACTGATGGGTACCAACAATCACCAAACATAAGTGGAGGGCTGCCTGACGACTGGCTCCAACCAACTACCATGCATATTGGTTTTGTTAATTATGTTTCTCTGTTCTCATAATCAGTAAGGTAGAACGCAAGCTTGGTTTCATGTTATTTATGACGAGAAACTTCTATGAAAGTATGTGTGAATAAACTAAATGGGAACAGTTTTCGAATAATTGTACTCAAGTGTTTTTGTTGGAATAAGAACAAGCCTATGAAAGTGCGAGAAACCTACCTTATTGGTTGCATGAAAATGCAACATTTGGAGTAGAATGACCTAAACCAATACACCATAATGCCTCTTTAATCAGTTTTAGAATTACCAAATAACAAACCCCATTCTACGTTTAGATTTGTACTTTGAGGTACTTACTATATAATCTCAATAAGCATAAATAAGTGGTTAACTTAAGAAAAGCACATGAACTGTCATAAAGTGAAACTTTATGTGCCAACGTTTAGGGGATTTACAATTTTACAAGCATGGATATTTAATGATAACATCACATATGATACATTATCCACATCACATACTAGATCTCTATTATAACTACCTACAAACCACTTCTAGTGAATGGACAGAAGCACAGCTTTCAACTGACCTGACAAAATAAACTTCAACCTAATCGAGTGAAAAAATACACCACAAAGTCAGACACGGATTAGCAACTGAACAGTTAGATCAAAAATAGCTCACCATTCAGATAACAGGGTAAGGGGCATTATATGGAAATAACGTTTACTGTTGAGGAAACACAAAAACCGATGTAAAATAGATCTACATGTTTGATTTCTCTGATTTTCTTATGGATTCGTAGCACAGTTCACTAAAAACAGTGATTTAGCTTATTCATCGTAGAATACATAACAAGTCAATTACATGTTGCTGATCAATGTTCAATCTTTTAATTATCGCATTATGGTTAACGAGTCATTACTTTTGTTCATTAAACACGTCTAATTAAAATTCAACAATGAGAAGCCCAAGAAGGTCAGTAACGATCAACATCATTACGTAATACCTGGAAAGTACCACTGTGTAAATTGTACGCGTATTTTAGCCAAAGTAAGATGATATCAACCTCGCCTAGGTAACCAGTTCACTAGTTACTAGCCAATCCTAAGCACCGATAAAGAGGGAAGGTTGGGCATACGGCTAGCAAAACCTACCCCCGAAAACCAATCCAATCGCTAAACAAACTCCAGAGCACAAAGAAAATATTAGGAATAAAAATAAACTTATTCCTAGCTGGAATCGGAGAGACAGAATGACGCCGGTTGGTGAAAGCCTTCAGGAAGCCAATTGGATGATGTATCTTCTATTCTATTCTCTCGATCAAACCAAAAGGAAGAATGGGGACATGGAATATCTGCACAACGTTTGAAGCTGACTGACAAGGCTGCCCACATTGCAAAAGAAGTGAGAAGATACAGCATAGAAGTGCCAGGAATCTGCAGATGGAATGGAAGTGGACTCTCCAAGCTGTCAACTAGAGAGTCAATAACCTACTCCGATATTGTCACACAGACGACAATCACAAGCACAGCACAATGAGTTCTCGAGTGGCTATCACGATGCCCCCAACAGCATCGAAGGCTCTCTCTCATTCAGTGGGAACCACGATCATGACAGCAAGATGGATTCAACTCGGAAGGAAGGAAAGTCAGAATCATACAATGCTACGCTACGCACCCACAAATAATGTAGATCAAGAGAAGAAGGAGGAGTTCTACAGTAATGGAGAACACCCCACCCCAGATGGCGACAAAAAAATTCTAATGGGTGGGGTGATATGAATGCCAAACTGAGAGCAGACAACACAAGAAGAGAACTAATCATGGGTCGAGAGGCACTCAGTGAAATAATGAGGGAGATTGGAGAACTCTTTGCACAGTTCTATGCATTTAATGATTTGGTGATTGGAGGTAGTGTGTACAAACACAAGGATATTCACAAGTGACATGGATTTGATTTCACCACACACCAGGACACACTTCACCAAAAATCAGATCGACATCATTTTAATGTGACGAAATTGGAGACAGCCTACCGGACACAAGATCAAAAAAGAGAGAAGATGTAGATTCACACCACTCACACCATTATCTAGTGCAAGGAACCTGCCTTCAAAATCAAGTTGAAAACCTTCAATTCAAAGAAGCTGGTGATAGGCTACCTTGTCAAACGTCCAAAGAAGAGCGACCTAAGTCTTTGCAAGAACTGGCTCGGAATCATGCTGCTGTTCCAGTCCGCATCAAGCAAAATGTTAAGCCGCATCATCCTGAAAAGACTAAAAGATGCTCTGGATTCAAAATTACTACCGAAACAGGCTAGCTGGCTGGATTCAGGAAGTATAAATCATGCGTGGACCAAATGTCTTATGTCTTGTAGCACAAACTAGAAGATCTACAGGTGAAAACCAACAAGCTGACAGAAAAGATGAGGCAACGAAAACGGACCTTCCTTCAGATGAACGTAGAGAAGACAGAAGTGATGAAGATACCCAACCGACAAAAATAACAAGCACCAATCACCATCAACGGCAGAAACCTAAGTAAAGTAGTCTCTACCTACCTACCTGGGCAGCATGGTTTCAATTACAGGCGGCGGCACAGATGAAGACGTCAAAACAGCCAGGATCGGAAAGACAGCAAGACAGGACTTCCCGCATTAACATGAAACCAGTGTGCAGATCTACTACACTACACTCAGTATAAAGCGTGAACAACATCCAGATTTTCAACACTAATTCAGTCAAGTAAGTCAGTGCTTCTATGTGATGGTTGAGAGACTTGGTGGTGCGTCACGAAAAGCATTTCCAACAAACTACAGATATTCATCAACAGCTGCCACCTACGCTCACTCGATATTGACACTGAAGATCAGATGGATTGTCAGCATAAAAAGAATAAAGAACAAGGAATTCTGGCTGGCAACGAACCAACCAAGAACCTATCGTCCAACAAATATGCATAGGAAAGTGGAAATAGACTGGATCGAACAAACACTGAGAAAACCGATTGAGGACATCACTCACCAGATCAGGCCCTTGAGTGGAACCCAGATGGCAAACGACGAGTTGGGCGTCCAAGGCGAGGCGAGGGTGACATGTAGGAGATGGTGTGAGGAAGAAACGAAAGCTTGTGGGCAGTCGTGGAGGTTAAAAAAACTGGAGAGAACAGAGCGAAGTGGAGACTTGCTACTGAAGCCCTATGTTCTACTAGGAACCCAAGGGACAAATAATAAAAAAATAAGATGATATCTAGGTCGAATATGGAAATGCTCAACAAGAGATAAATTTACTTTATAGGTACCCATGTCAATATTAAATTTCCAGTACGACACGAAGAACAACCCTAGTTAAACTTTTTCTCTTTATGCATAGGACATAAATATGATGGCACAAGAGAGAGTGCCATTCAACACAGAACTACATAGAGCAGCCAATACTTGGACTTTAACAGATTTGTTTGACGAGTAACAAGATTTATTGGGAATGAGGCATCATTTGCCTTTTAGTCACTGTTTTCTTAGCTTTATTATCCTATCTGTTGTTATAATCATCTATCTAACCTATGTGACTGCTAAATCTGATTTAATCATACTCATCTAACAGCATTTCTTGACCTAAATTATGAAAACGTGTCTAATTTGAATGAGTTTGATTTTCTTACCTTATCTTCCGATTCGGAAATTTCAATTTTGTTTTTGCCTATCTCCAAGTCTTGATTTGTCTCTACATGTCATGTAGGCTAATTTTGCAGCGGTCAGGCTGTGAAAATTTAATGAAAAACCGGTAAAACAAAGTGTATTTTCATCGTGGTAACTAGCAGTGGAATCCAGGACGCACGTTTCGTCTTATTTGGGACTCATTAGGTGGATGTATTTGCACCTTGAGCCCGGCAACTATTGCTCCGAACACCAAAGAGTTATCCACTAAGCCACTGGGGCACAAGGACCACCGTTTGTGCAACAGATATCATTTGTCGCTTGATACTTGTACTTTTCTGTTACTATACAGGGTCGAATTGCTCGACCTATGTTGGTAAATGGGCTCCTATGAAGGTGCTTCGGCACTGCCGGATATTGAATACAACATCATGAATATCTGGCAGTATCGAGATATTCACATAGGAGCCCATCTGCCACTAGAGGTCGAGCAATTCGACCCCATACAGCATCGGGAAATTAAAAATATCAAACAACAGTAAAATGCATTTATTTTAAAAATGTTTTCCTTATTACTACCTATAGCACTAGTTATGAATGTGTCCTACTTATATTGTAGATGGATTTACAAAATGATAGCAACTGATGTTACATTTGGTCAACATTTCCAATCGTAATTTGTAGGTTGAGTTGTAAGATGTTTCCATTAATTTGACGAACAGGATACTGTGCTCGATTTAAAATGGTCAATTGCATTTACAAAAAATTCTTGAATCCATTTACCATATACATTAAAACTAAATCAAAAAATGACCACGAGTGTATGTCAGTGTAAAACTATGAGGTTTTGAATTGACCAACACATAAATGCATTTAAAATAAACATATAACTCACTTTTCTGAGAACCAGGAAACGCATAAGGAAAAATACTCCAATGGACGCTACACCACTTAGAACAGGTGAAAGGAACCATGAACCAACTGCAGATGAAAACAAAATGGATGAAATAAGGCAACAGAATTATCAGGCTTAGAGTGGATTTTATGCTGAAAATGCAAATTACGGCCCAAACGTAACTTGCGTATAAATACTTATAAATTTTAAAGTTTTTTAGAGTTTGTGTATAAATTGTAAGGATGAAACAGAATTCAACCAACTGACTTATGCTAATAACCGAGATGAGCGAGTAGTAAAAGAGGCATAAAAAGATTGTAACTATCACCCTAAATGACCCCACACTTCATCAGATATCCTGAATAGTTAAAAAGAGAATTGTCAAAAAAGACGTGTTACGTTTGGATCATTTGTAGCCCATACTTCACTCCTACCTAATTAAGTCTGCTAAAGTTCCTTAATGAATAACTGTATTAAATAGCTAATTAACGCTAGATACTACCAAGTTAGAAAATATTGAAAATATGAGCAAAGAATGAACAGGGAACTCAAAAACAAGAAACAAACTCCAGATTTGAGCCGTATTTATAACCTCCCGTCAAATATGAAGATTATTTTGACTTTGCTAAGCGCCTGAGGTTGAAGGTATAAACCAATGAATTTTAATGCTCCAGTCAAATTATGCATCCATCGAGGTTCTAATTTTCGTTAAAACTTTAGGCCATCTACATCTAGCTGATATGCATGCAATACAATGGATTCACTGTATTCTAAAAAACTTTGTTTCCCTCGTTTCGTGCGAATTTTTGTAAAAATTAGTCCCATTTATGAATTCTGATAAATTAGCAAGAATAGTTTTTCTGAACCAAGAAATGTAGTCGCCCAACACATTCTAAATAATCTGAGCATATATTTACTTCCCACAGGTACCTATATGAGCAATACAGAATTTGGAGACAAAAAACCAAAAGAAGCAGTCATTATCCATAAGGCTGTTCGAAATACTTCGCGAAACTGGGTTGTATGACTTAGAAAAATTACATCTACCAATATTTCGTTTAGACTTCCCAGGGAAATTAAGCATATGAAGATTCGAGGTTCATTCCAGCGTGGATCAAGGACTCTAACTGTAAAACAATCCTGAATCAGATTACAAGTTATTCGGTGGTTTCTAATGGTTTTCCAGGTAATATACGTCAAAATCTAAACTATTCTCGAACTAATCGGTGTCTTGAAAAATATCCAAACGATAATACCGATCATCTTTCTCCACTATTTAAAAGAAATATATAAATATTGACGTAAACCAGATAAAGTAAATAATTCAAATGCTTCATTTCAATTGGTATTATATAAAATGTCTGTAAGCCCAAAGTTAATTCGATAAAATGGTTGAGCCAATCCAAAATGAATCCAGGAGGTATCCACGGTATCTCATGTCAGCGCACTGGCAACGGTGATCGTCTCTAACTGATTTGTTGACTCAGTCACTCGTTTCTAACCAGCACAAAATTCAAGCATAAGAAGAGACTCTGTCACACTTGTCATCTGCAGAAATCAAACCAATGGTGGAAACAGATAAAACACATTGCTATAAGTCATTGTTAGAGGGAATTGACTGAGGATTGCCCCTTTTTCTGGAACATTTTTAACCATGAGACGGTATGGGCACATGTACGCTTGCGCCTTAATGAGAGCAAGAAAAAGAGAGCAGTAAAGCCTCTGCTTGCTTCACTAGAAATTTAGGATTCCAAGTGTGTATTTAGAGGGGAGACAGCTAAGTATTCATACCTACATGGCACCAATCCTCTACCTGGTGAAGCTTCGCATAACATTTATTCTACTATAGAAACACTAGCAAATACAGTTGGTAACCTACATCTAAAAGTCACCAAAAACCAGTGGATTTTCACAACATAATTCAAATTGACTGATGCACAGAACCTAATTCCAACTGACTCTTACCACAATGAAAAGAAAAAGCAACTCCAGCGCAAACTGACTAACAGTCGTGGATGCAGAATGCAAAACACATGGAGAAGGTATCACTACCAGGTAATATCTGGAAACTATTTAAGCTGATTAAGGATATTGGCAAAAGAAGGCGATGGTTAATGAAACCGTCGACGAAAAGAATAAGATCCTGACGAACTCTCACCACAGGTGATGAGTAGGTTCAGTGGAACACTTTCAAGGAGAGTTCAACTAGCCAACAACCACATGTCAGTTGACTAGCATCCAACACGAATCTGAATGAGACATAGATGTTGGTTCTCCAACTCTCATTGAAGTTTACAAGGCTTTTTCCAACCTGAAACAATGCAAAGCAGCAGGACCTGATGGTTTGCCACCGAAACTGTCAAGGATTAAGCCATAAGGTACTCGGAGCATTAATGGAGGTTCTAGGCATGGGAACCCATGGTAGTCTCACCAAACAAATGTAGATCGGTAACCATTCCAGTCTATAAGAAGGTAGGCAAGTCTTCTTTTGACTACTATATAGAAATCAACTTGACCGACATTTTGTCCACGATCCCAGGGTCCATAGTTATTCGACAACTAACTGGAGCCTGAGAACAACAAACTTGAGAAACCAGGCAGGTTCCAGACCCAGAAGAGAGTGCACTGATCAGATTTCTGTTCTCGAACATGCACTTAAACATGTGCAAAGGTACTGGTATCAGAGCTTGGTCGTTAAGGCGCAAGCGTACACATACCCATACTATCAAAGGAGTAGAGTCAAAACAGATGTTCCAGAAAAAGGGGCAATCCTCAATCGATTCTCCCTAACAATGACTTATAGCAATATGTCCTACCTGTTTCCATTATTGGTTTGATTTCTGCAGATGACAAGTGTGACAGAGTCTCTTCTTATGCTTGAATTTTGTGCTGATTAGAAACGAGTGACTGAGTCAACAAATCAGTTAGAGACGATCACCGTTGCCAGTGCGCTGACATGAGATACCGTGGATACCTCCTGGATTCATTTTGGATTGGCTCAACCTATCGACATGATTGTTGAAGCCGCCTTGTAGAACGACATAATATGAAAGTTTGACTTTATGTAGCGAGATTGACAATATCTGGTAAAATTTAGCGTTTTTATCATGTGAACTGTAGTCAGTGGCGGCGTAAGTTGCAACAAGTAGGTATCGGTGAGTGGCATCGTCTTCTTCAGTTGTTACAGGTCTGTTCATTTGGACAGTGCATATATAGCTGTTTACTGCTATCCAGCCAAGAAGTATGTTTTTTTCTACAGTTAGACGCTAAACGTATGCCAGCTATTTCCCGGAAGCTAGCTATTGAACTTCTCACGAAGTGAATTTTACTGATTTACTGAATCGGTCATCTGAGTACCCATATGACTTTCTCAGAAGCTCAAAATGTATCTGCGGTGTGAGGTTATCAAAGGTCTGTAAGCAGCGTTTATTATCCGAATCACCATAGTGTTCGTAGGTTGAAGGGTTCAATGTGAAACTGGCTGCATGGTTTTAAGAGACTACGAATGGTATTTTGTTGGCTTAGAGGGTTGCAAGTTGTGGAAGGATAATAGTTTGAGTGAAATGCAGGGCGCTTAATGTTGGTATCAGGAAGTGAAGATGAGGAAGGAGTCAGATGTGTGGCAGGTAGGTTGTGTTTGGTTAAGTTTTGTGTGCTTGCAGGTGAACGGTATGTCTCAGCTGCGCACATAGTAGAGGTTGTTTTCTTAAGGTATCTGAAGGAGAAAATGGATTAGTTTTGCATGACCGAATGGGCCAAAACAAATCCAGTCGAGGCCAGTCGCACATGTCCTTTATATAAGTTTGAGGTTGAGGCTCGCTTATTTTGACTCCAGCATGAAAAACCATACCGCTGGTATTGGAAGACCTTAGGGTAGGGGAGACTGTGCTACTTTAGATGACGACTTTTTGAACCTTCTTTATCAGAGGAGAGGCAGCATGAGCATGGACTGCTGGTCATCCCCAGAAAACATTTTACTGCTGTCACAATCAGTCCAGCCATCAGTGCAACTCAAATCTCAGACCCGCATCACACAGCAGCTAATTGCACAATAGCGGCAGTTGCTTTTTCTCTTACCATTATCCAACTGCCTTTATGGTATAGTAGGACCTCAAGTAACAGATTTGCCAACCAAAATAGGTAGTTTGGTCCTTGTGATATATATGCCACAAAACTAGGTCAAGGTATCAGCTCCCGACCAGGCACAACAACTACAATCATGATTCTGTCTGCTTTTGAATAAAATTTCTTATCTAACTGGGTGCGCACAAACAAGAAATGAGACAGGCTAACGATATTCAACCATTTATGAGAAACGGATAGCTAAGCTAAGTGTGACCTGACTCTGTGATTCACTATGTTTCGTGATAAGGCAACGACCAAGGAACTCTGGTCGATAAAACAAGAAACTTTTATAACCTTGTAAATGTGATTCGAAAATATTGGAAAAAGTGTTGACAGTCTAATCGAAGATCGAAATCTTTACTTAGACAATAGATGTGAATCATAATAAAGCTTACTGAAAACTCTTGGTTCAAAAAAGAACAACACTTTTCAACTTTTACACATATTGTGATATTTTTTTTTAGAGAGGGAATTACGCTTCATCAACTGGACAATAGGATTTGGAATTGTTAAAATCACTACCAAAAGTTAGACTATTATCTAACAGACTTTTGATAGAAAATAAGGGCAAGCAAGCAGTGAAATAATTCGTTCTAAAGTTTAAGCGGCGATTACTAGACTTAGAGATGAGTTTTTTTCAAAAAGTAAACAATGAGGAAATTAGCAACATTAAGTGCTTGAATCTATTTAACAACTAAGTATTAGAGTGAAATGGAGAGGTGAGAGGACCTTTAAATATTAACTATATTGGAGCAACATATAATACTTATGGATGCTTATCTTACAGAATCCTTGAAAATATATAAATTGGGGTTTATGTTGACTGACGGCAAGTAATAATGACTTCTCTAACTTGGACAAAAATAATAACAAAAACGGACACCGTACAATATATACTACTTTTGAATTCTATCGTACAATGCTAAGATTTCTCAAGATGATATACTTGTCTAAATATTACATTCATCTGAATATAAACCATCATCAGATATTGAAAATTCCAATTAACCGGTCACCCAGTTATTCGCTTAAAACACAAATAAATATATGATATATTATGCAAAACACTAACACGAATAAATAAGTAGCAGAAGTGAGAGTAATAATTCACTATTTGTTGTTGAAATCGAAATTAACTCATGACACTCAAAAAGACAAGTGTTAATACACTACAATTCCATATGACTAGGAAGCATACCGTGTTTGCATATCCTTTATCATAACTTGGAAAAGAAGTAGATACAAAAAAGTGTAAATAAAAGTTAAGAGAGATTATAAACCTAAACTATTTTTGCTTTTCTTTCTAGTCGTACACAGGTTAGGCAACTAAACCAACAAATGTACATGTACATAAATAATCAAAAAATTAAAATGCATGAAAAATAAAACATATTCAAATTGTAGGCGAATAAACTTTGAGAAAATCTTGAGTACGATAAGTGTTTGAAGGCGCAAAACCTTGGTTAAGAGTATGGTGCAGAAAACTACCATTAGGTCGTTTACCTGAGTCAATAAAAGAATATGACATTCACTGTCTCACTAAGATTAATTCTTACTCGGATATAACTTTTAACAATCTCACTGTAAAATTAAGTTTTACATTCAACGAAAACTTATATTGTTCTTTGTAGTCTACCTGAAAGGCTAGCAGTGATATTTAGGATAAACATACTGTCCTATTTGGGACTCGTCAGCTGAATGTACCTGCACTCCAGTGAGTGATGTTGTTCCCAATGAGATTCAGACCCAGTACCCACCGCTTAAAATGTCAAAGAGTTATCTACTATGATATTGGGGCACGAAGACTAACTCTTGTGCAGCTATTATCAGCTGTTGTTTATTGATACTTGCAGACAGATATTAAAGTATGTACAACCAAAAGAGGCATATTATTGGCTATTTTAAAAATAGGGTCAGTGTAGTACATAATATATCGCTGGACTGACTAATAGAGCACATGACAAATGCTAACAATCTCAAACGGAATGAGTTTTATCCTAAATCTATGCATCAATAGCAATTAAACTGATTAACAGACCGATCACAAACATTTTAAAAAGCCTGAAATAAGAAGCCACCTCGTTCAAAATGGATGTAATAATGGCGTAATATTAGGCTCAATTCTCTTTCGTATATTTGGAGGATAATAATCACAAAAATGTCCTACAGCACTTACACATTATCATAGTTGTTGATTAATTTGATGATCCCTAAACTTGGAAATATGTTTAAACATGAGAAACCGAGTTAAAATAGTAACCAGTAGTCCATAAGCATGTTTAAAAAAAACAAGTAGATACATATGAACGACCTGTATTTACTGGTTGCTTTTGTAGTACAGTGATCTCCCCTAAATGTAGTAAAATTCCTTGAAGTAGAAACATTTCTTGAGTGTATATTAAACATTATTTTAACAAATTTCTGGTAAAAAAAATTAGAAATTTTGTATACTCCTAAACAAGTGTTTTATCACAAACTTTTTCATTCGAATTTGATGAGCATACAATGAAATATAAACAGATTCATGACTTATCCCAAAATGATTGTAAATATAAGAAAAACGGATGAAATGAGAATTGTCTATTGTATTCGTTGGTTCGTTAAGTCTGGATGATGCAATCCGAACAGTAAATACACCTCACCGATGGGAATCAACAAACGTTTTTTAATCACAACAGATGCACATTTTCGTCTCTTAATATGAGACTCAATCATGTCGTTATTTACTACATAGGAAACAATCTTGTTTTTAGCCCCTGAATTTTACACTCATTTTTCACTCAGTAAAACGACAATATAGCTTCAAACTAAAAAAGTACTTTTTCCCCATCTTTTTAATGACTCTAAACTCACATCTTTAAGAACGAACGACAAGTAACTGAATCATTTCTACAATAATAAACCAACCATTTTCACACCACTTAGGATACACATTTCGAAAGCTTTCTAAACACTTCCTTTATGCATACAGTTGAACACCAGGCAACTTGACGGGTAAATATACTGCAAAGCAAACAGGAATGAAAACTGTCACCTTAAACACATAAGATCTCCACCTAAAGATAAACGTAACTCACTGAAAGAGCTGCATCTAGGTAATCACTACCAAATAAGTGTACAAATATAGCATATATTTATTTTCTGCTAAATTTAACATCGATTTTGAAATTGAATAGGGAACTAACATTTCATTAGTAACAATCTGTAATCAGTACTACTCTAGGCCCCAATAGTAATACTTGTTATGTATGTTATGACTGTGAACTTGTTTAATATTCGACGATAAAAGAAAACAGGTTGGTGCATATAGTAACAGAAGGGAAAAATGTATTCCTTTTGCAGACAATTTTTATCACAGATATCAACTTTTACTATTACATTCTTTGGTTGTCAAGTCAACCAGCATCAACACTCAACATTCACTACAACTAGTGTCATCCATCTTCATATAAACTGACAATTATAATGTAAACTATCAGTGTAAAATTTACGCCCAGTGGTAGAATGTAATTTCATATATGATTCGTTGAATTAATATTGTGCACAGTGATACAGCTACATTAACTGGATAATTCTGCAAGCAAAAACTCTGGGAGAATTTTGACATGATTACAGGTAATGTGAATATGATCAATAATGATGGTAATTCTAACGATATAATTTATATGTATGCACATTTTGCTTGTCAACCCTACCTCTACCAGTAAGAACGAGGTGTAAAGAATCCAATGTTAATAAACTCTTTAATTTAAGCAACATGAGTTGAATTATGCAAATTGAACTGACACGCCATTTTCAGGATTTATTGCATCGATATTCGTTTGCATTTCCATCTAATTTCCAGAATTCAATCAATTAAATCCAATCTACACCGTTTAGATTTGTCTACAGGTTTCACTTCACTAGCAAAATAAATTCAAAGACTCTGAAGCAAATATTATTGCATAAGTGAACTTTATCATCTATCTGTTGTTAAAAAGACTGACCCAAGTACATATGTGTATACATTAGCAAAATTATTTTTCTATATTACCTAAGATTAGTTCATACTCCAACAGATAGTAAGATGATAAGAGAAAAAGATGTAAATAGATAACACAAAAGTGATCTAGCATCATTTTTAAAACTTTCCTGACTTGGATCTAAGCCTAAAACGTTTTGCAAAACTGAGACCAGATACTTCTTTTTACTCATCAACTCCCTTGTGAATTTTCGCTTTACTGCATACTGTAGTTGAATTTATAAATGAGGTTGAATAAATCTGGCAACAGTTGGTAGTAGAATGGACAATGTACTTTTAGTCCTGACAGGGAATAATCAGCTGCATGTGTTTGATTTCCAATGAGCATCAGGACCTTGATTACCAGTTGTCATCAAAATAAAATAATATTTTGTAGGCAGCATAACTGAAGCATCAGTATCAATAATCTGGATGCATAATGGCTAACAATGTCTAGAAGACTTTTAGAGAAAGTTCTCTTTTTTTGACTTTCTGTTTCTTTTCCTACTTTAGTATATAGATGACCTGGTTCATTAATACACGATTTACTACAAACCAAATTATAAGGCTACTGTAGAATATTTTTATATCATCAGAGATTCTATATCTGTGTACATCTGCTGTATACCTCATGTAACAAATGAGACTTTCAACTGTTTATTAGTTCTGCACACTTTCTTTAGATGTCCCGAAACGCCGTTTTATCCTAATATTTATACTTCTTCGTTGAAATATCAAACATAGCAAACTGAATATCCTACAAAAAGTGTCAGGAAGTACTTTAGTGATTAAAAAGCGCTAACATTAACTCATTACCTCTTTGAGATTTTCTTGTACCTCTGATATGACCAGTCAATTGACACTGCACAACGTTCATACTGACAATCTTTTCCTAATTGTTGACAAGTACTTATCCTTATGAGCATAAGCAGAGAACTGAGAAGCCAGTTGTAACCTTAAAAAGATAAACTACCATCTTATAGGATAACAATGGCTTAATTTCATACTACCCTAGTTAAAGGAGCTTAAAAATTGTTGAGAATCGAAAGGTTTTTCAGTTCCAATAAATAAATAAAACAAAAATGATAAGTGGAAATGATTATTATACACATAAACCTAACACAACAATGCATATGTGCACATGTTGAGTATGAAAGCAATAAAGACACTTTCAATGAGCGTCACAAAACATGGATGGTCAAGATGATTACTGGTACAAAGTATGTTCAACATTGGCAACGTATCAAAGAAGGTGACTTCGTTAAAATTTACCAGCCTCAAGAGCAAAACAGAATTCGTAAAAATTTTCGAAGCTTTCGTATCCACTTAATTCAACGCTTAAAGACAGTTCAATAAAATTTATTTCATGTTAGCAAGATATATTTTACCACAAAATAAAACTAGTTCTAGATTGTAGTCACTTAGTAGTCAACACCTCCGATATTTCCTACGATAGAACATTCGTATCTCATCGATAGCAGTTTACAAATCAACCATTCAATGTCGCATTGGTCCAACTGTTATGTTAAATAATTTCAGCTCTAAACAAGTCGTCTAATAAATACTGTCGATAATTATGGGGTTAAAATCATTGTTGAGAAGTAAAAATGATTCATTCTAAGAGAAATTGACGGAATACAAATGAAATTTGAAAAGTGCTCACCGATTCTTAGTAGTCCCTGCCACTGAATAGCATTAAGTCCGAAGATGACAAGGCTGAAACCCATTGTGGCACCAACAATACTGTGTGTACCAGAGACTGGAAGACGGAAGAATGTGGCTAACAACAGCCAAATGCAAGAACCTAAAACAGAGAAAAGCTATTTTAATAGAAAAACATATCTGCCTCTTTGATTTTTAAACAAGAAATTCACTGTTTAGATGAAGTGAAAATTCATAAAGATAACGCTTGTATTCAAAGTGCTAAGAATTTCGTCTTTTGATAATGTCACTAGTGTGAAATTCAAAAAAAACAAATACTTGTAAAATCTCAGCTAAGTAAAAACGTAAATTCCTTAGTCTGCCACCTTGGGAAAAGGCTTTTCAGATGATTGAGCTGCATAGGCCTTTCTAATCAAAACAGAGGCTTCAAGGATATCATAAACGTCAGACTTCTACTTTCCTACTCAATCAGGATTTCATGAGTATACTTCTTAAACAAATTAAACGCTAGATACTAAATTCACTTCCTGATGGCAAATTAAACGCATATCCTGATGTCTATAAAAGCCGTAAATGAGCACGAATACAACAAAGTGGTACAACCAGGTGAAATTATTAGCATTCTGGGCTGAAGCCAAAGTTCACAAGTCACACATTTCTGACGCAGTTAACGATACTAACCACTTGTTTACATTTTAACATACTGTGCAGAATTCAAAATGATTAAGCTGAAACTCAGTCTACCAGCTTTGAATCAGGGCTCAACAGTGAAGTGATGAGAAGTTGGTGGTGAATGCAACAAAAATTTATCCCTATTGAGCGAAATTGTGTACACGCTGCAGCCAATCATAGAAAACCTTAGATTTCAGCAAACAAAGGTACAACGTTCGTCGACAAGCATCCCACAGGTTAACACTAATCACAGTCCCCAAAACTTCTGCAAGTAAAAGTGCATTTCACTAGATTTAAACTTGCATCGACTGCATACTAGCAGTATTCGTAGTTAACTTGGAGGAAGCATAAAAGTGGGAAAACATAATAATAATCCTACTATGGTCAACATGTCTAAAAATGAAAAGTAAGTGTCGGAACCAGGCAGAATGTTTTAGAATAAACGGTGTTTACACAGAAAAATATTATCAATCTTTGAGATCTTAAGAGTAAAACGTACCTATTCACCTGTGCCTTTAGTCAAAATCTTAAATGGTCACTGTTGTAGACAAATGACATTTTTTTAGAAACATCGAATCCGAACGCGTTCACAAGCACTTACAAGCATAGTATGCAAAATATGCACGAATATAAACGCATACTTTGCAGGATTTAGCCGAAACTCTTTACTACTCTAGTTGTTGTATTAATATTAAAATATTTTTGACACATTTTTAGCACAGCGTAAATCGTTTGCGAAATTCAGTTCGAAGAGTGAACGATTCCGATAATAGAAATTACTCAATGCCAAATGTGATGCTTCAGACAATAACAAAGTAGCTGGCAAACAGCGAAAGTTCTCAGATGGATCATCAATTAAAAACGTTTTTTAGTGTAACTATCCGAGAAAAAGAATTTCAAAAAACGTTCAATTTATTACATGTACAAATGTCAGCAGTATACGACTACAGTTCCCTTAAGTACTAAACATGTCACTGAATTAAAAGCTATGACTTCATAGGACAAAGAAAGTTGAATATAATTGATTTGGTGAGTAACAGAATGCTGAAAAATCGTGAATAGAAAAAAAATACTATATAACTGTTTTTTATTGCGGAAATGTATCATATATAAACTCACCTCCCAAAGCAGCAACTTGTCCGGCCATCAAAACGACATGCCCATTTTCAAGTTTACTGAAAAGCTCGACGCTAACAATACCTTTACGTATTGTATTGGACACCTTAGCACCTAATAAATTGAATACATTCAGACAATTTCACAAAATTTACCCAAGAGAACAGAGCCACTTAATTCGCAAATTGTAGCGAGAAGGCAAGCCTGCTTCAGTGTTAATACTTTGGCACCAACGCTAGTCCCGAATGAATTTGCAACATCATTAGCACCGATTCCAAAGGCGAGGACGAAAGCAATTATGAAACCAACCACGACCATCCATATTTGATCTTCTGGGATTAACATGATTTTACAAGATTTAAAGCTGGTGCGATAATATTCTTACAGAGTACTGAAGCAGGTGCCTAAAAATGAAAATGACATGAATTTTGAAGAATTTTAAAGAGACCACTTATAAGGACTACCTGTTTGGTTACAAACAAAATTTCACAATATCGAATCAATTCTAAATGCTGCATCACTTGTGGAGTTTGTGTTTATTATTTGAAGCACTCACATTTTAACTAATTATTACATGTTCTGATCTCACTCTAATTACTATGAATTGGGAAATCAGGTGTAATTCGATCACGTGACATGTACCACAAGTGATCTTTAGCACAAATGTGTTCTCAATCGCTGAGTTAAAGTTGCTGTTTAGAGGTAAAAAGCTGCCAGCTGGGAATAGCAGACGATACGGCTTAAAATCGATAGCACTTATGCGAACGTTTATTACTTTCTTCTAAAATTCACACACTTTGACCATCTGTATTTACTAATTTTAAGCAGGCCAGTAAAATATAACAGCTTAGACTAGTGAGTTTTTGCGTAATTCTTTCATATTTCCCTGTTTCGTTCAGGAAAAACTTCACCGCCTAAAACGTTTTCAACAAAGGTAAACGGAAGTGATTAAAACCCAAAGTGATTGGATTATTTGATAAAAAATATTATGCTAAGATAAATGGGACTAAAGGTAAGTCTTGACCAAGTATCAGAGGAGATTTCACTGTAATTTATAACAATCAACATTTATTAAGTTAAAAGCCTAGGGTGAACAACTATCAACATCACGTCTACGCGGCTAAAGTCTACTGCAATAATTTATCAAGTAAAAGGAAATAAGCCAGGTGACAAGTGAAAATAGTGATGAAAAATGTGGCTGCTATTCACGGAAGTTACTATCATTTTTGTTTTTTGTTAAACGGATAGGTATAGGCAAACCGCTTTGCCATAATTATTCAAGAAATGATTTCTCTTGGTCACCCAAGCTCTTGAGTGTAGTCTAACAGGCGAACTATTTGCTTTGAATCCTGTCGGACAATAGTTGCATCCGGGAGATAATGGTGCGATAGTTGTATTTCTTTAGTATTACAATCAGAAACTTACGCAAAACAATATTTAAATGCTTTCAGATTGCAACAAAATGGAGAAAATCTGCAGTTGCAAGTTGGGTCATTTGACACAAAGTGCAAATCTACGTAGTAGATCATCTGTATGCAATACTGCGGCTCGGATTCTGTTGCTTTTAAGAGATAATTAATATACTTCGATGGTCGAATATTCATGACAGTAGAGTTTGCGCAATTTGTAGAAGAAATTAGCAGTCTCAAATGACTTTTGTTTCATTTTAAGAAATGATCCTCTTTTTCCAGCTAAAGAAACCATTTAGTTACACGTCTGAGACGACTCTTCATCATATTTTACTAGCTTATCTGAAAAGGACAGTGGCCTGAAAACTAATTTTGGGGCATCATAACACTTAAAGGACACTCCCGACAGCTATGGGAGCCACTTAAAGTAACCTTTTAACAGCTCTTATTAAAATATAACATCATGTTAGGGGTGCTTTTCAATTACAAAACTCAGTGTAAAGAGTGCAAACACCCCACATGATGAAAAACAGGTGATTCTGTATTCAGATACTTATGATTACTGCCTGACTGATAAAATCAACATGGAACCTCGCACACACATGCATCGACTCAAGCTACCACACTTCACAGTAGTACAGGTGGACAGAAAAACGAGTGATATCAAAGGAAATAAAACAGTGTAAGAAAAGCAATCTGAAGATAAAGGTTCGTGCGAATATTCAGGCTTTGAAAAGTGTCAAAGGAATGAATACATCTGCGCCATTGTGACCGATTTTCAGACATGTCACAAAGAGTCCCTAACCGCTGATGCCTTTTGTTTTGAGGACTCCAACTAGGCAAAAGGAATCAGGAATCACTTAGCTATCATTAAAAAAACTATAACTCGTTATTTAGATGTTCATGGACTAAATAATATAACCTTAATCAAATACAAAGTGACAAAGTGAAATGGTTCAAACTGCAATGGATAACAAAATATGAGATCTAATAAATCACGAAATCACAGGGTACGATTTGATTTGCAGGGATATATAAAGGTTTTAGAAAGTGTTCATCAAGTTGATACATCAAAGATGTAGTAGTGATGAGTGAGAATTATGATAAGAAGTAAAACGTTATGTGCTGAAGACGAACATCCTGCTATCAAATCTAAATATTTTTGTTCGATGGTTTGTTATCTATTCGGTGTGGATAAGAATCACCCATAGAATATAAAAGACCGTATGCACTGACATTCATCACCACAAAAGTACTTGATATCAGTAAACAATGATATTGGAGCGAATAAACTCACAGGCGATTCGTCTACAATCCTTCCACTAAAAGCTGAAGACTAAAACGAGCGAAAAATAACGTGTCAGAAAAACAACGCGCCAAGAGTTAATCGTAAACTTGTGGTTCGATGACACGCAATAACAAAGCACCATGTCTTCAAACCACAAACTTTGTGCTGTAGAATTAGTGAACAGTGGTTCCTTGATTTCTACGTCTGTCTTACTGGGACACGTTCTTGGTTTGGAATGATGGCACTTTTTTTCCTCGTTCAGAAAAACCTGGAAGGACAGAGATTAGCGATTATTAATTAATTTGCTCTCCCCACTTAGTGCTACTCTTCCTAATCTGTAGATGATAGAAAGCTTCTCTAGTACAGTCTACCGGTGCCAAAAGACTCTAAATGTGTGTCTGACCTGCTTTTAAGTGTATCAGGGGAGGGGCATAGCTCTTTGTTTGCGCTTTATCATGCTCTACTCTTAACGAGTGGCCCTCACTAATACGTTTCTGATCAAAGCCTGAAAGGAATCTGTTACGATGAGAGGGATTATGAACAACATGGTACATCATGGTCGTATCCGTTTTGATCCTCCAGTATTGTACCGGTTGCAGCTTGACGATAACTAGACGATCCAGGCAAGGTTTCTGCCGTAACCCATTCCCTTTCTTCATAGCTTTTCTCTGAAACCGTTTCAGATGGATTTCCTTACCAATACCTTACTATTCTCTTTCAGGTACCCACACAGATAGGAGTCACGGTAGTTCTCTAAACGTCCCAGCAACCAGTAGCTCCCTAATCACTCTACAAATTACAACCTACTAACCCACAAAACATCCACCTCACCGAAGCTAAAAGCGAGAGAGCAGAGGGGATTTCCTCGTCCACTGCAGGAGTGAACCGAACAACTGGAACCAAGCCCTAAGAACTAGACGCGAGAGATCAAAAACTACCAGTTTTCTACGCTCGCACTATCAATATTGGATATTGGAAGTATTCACAGCATTTTGGCATTTTGTCGTATTCCACTGCGTTGCTCGCTTGTAATTCCCTAGCCAGTTACAATACATACCTCGGTATTTTGGTGCAACAAAAGAATACGCTATCTACATGACTGCAAAATTGCATTCATGGACATCCGAGGAGAAAAGGGAATTTAAGAAGGGTCTCTTAATCTGCCCCGAAAGCTCATGATAATATAAAAAATGAACGTTTTATTCTCGCGCTAAAAAGTTTTAACATGAGAGAAGCCAGTTTACAGGCTTCATCACGCTGATACATCTCAAATAATCTACAAGACTTTGGCCTTCACTGGTACTGACGGAATGCGATCCGCCAGCCTGCAATGTGAGGTAGATATTCTATGCTATGGAGATGCATAGCTTCTGCTTGTTTAGTTAGGTATTCTGAACTCAGCAAAGCTGATTACCCCCCCCCCCCCATGAAGGGTATTTTCAGCCAAGGCCTGTTCCTTAAATAATTAGTCCTCGATGACGACCAAGCCAACATTCAGAGTTGAATTGGTTTTCTACAACGATAAAAAAACAGACAAAGCAGTAGACAGAGAGAGAAGCAAGAATTAAAACAAGGGGAGTGTTGTCTACCTTTGCGTTTCTCCCCACCTAGCTTTCCTTGTTGTGGCATGCATTGCATGTGCTTTTTCTACTGAGTACTTAGGAACATGAGTTTCATGCCGTCGTGTAGCGTGGAACTTCTGTCTTTGATTACTGTGTCCGGTAGGGCAGAATGTGCCGCTAGTCTAAGGTCATAACTGTTGGAAGCTTCCCCAGCGCTTCGTATGAAAGGCCCGTGAAGGTGTGGTGGGTGTCTCATAATCCATCAAGAGGGCCCAGCGTACGAAATTTGATACATGATACTGTTGGTGCACTCGGTAAGCCGAAACAGTGGCCAGCCGACACGAAGTTAACTGGTAACCGACCAAATTTCAAGGTTGATTTGGAGGCCTTCATCTTGGCAGGATGTCTATTCCACAGCTAAGAGAACTTGCGATGAAGAAGTTTGCGCGCAAGCAGGATATAAACGGTTTCACTGTGAGGCTATTAACGTGGATGTGCAGATCATACCGTAGCACCACACACTTCCATAAAAGCAACAGCCTAGGGTTCGATGACATTCAACATTGATGCTGACCCTGATTGTTTAACTGGACTCGCTAAGCTGAAGGCATCTGGTCAAGCATCCTGGTCATTTGGCATGCTGTCGTGTTGCCTTGGGCTGCTCGTATTCGACTCTCTAGCCAGTTGGTTGGAGCGCATCGGTGTCTTGGCACAACCACCCAAATATACTATTCCATCCAACTGCGCTATCGTGTTCTTCCTTGGTCTCGTATTAGCGGGTACACAGCAAGTTCGGATGATTGGTGATTGGTCTTTGCGTCTGTCAAGTTCGTACCGGGACAAATCCTAAACTGGTGAGCCAGACGCGATTCAAATATCCCGACGTGATCACATATCCCGACCAATAGCAAATATTGAATTGGTGAGCCTGTTCCATTTTATATTTGTATATTGTTTTCACTTCGATAACATTTATATATCCATTTACTACACTTTCTCATGTCCAACCACACTCCCAAGCTTATTTGTATTAAGCCGACTACGAACACCACCCAACTCATGCCATACTGACCAGACAATGCAGAAACATAGTTTCTGTATGCCGAGGCAGATTTTCGAGAATATGGCGTCTCACACCCTCATTCTCGATTTCTCGCTGTCATACGTTCACTACCACGGGAATTAAACAGGTATGCTGAAGCACACGCGTTTAGTCCTGAAGTAAGTGATCCTTATGCACTTCTTAAGGCCTCACTCTTGAAGGAAAGCGATCTGACAGATCGCCAGCACCTAGATGGATTACTTCGTAACATCGAGCTAGGCAGCCACTCAGCTACTGAAGTCCTCACATGCATGCGAAAAGTAATCGGTGCACGAACATTCGACAATGGCCTTTTCCCAGAACTACTTCTCTCAAAACCACCACAACCGGTGCAAACCGTGTTGGTGACGCTGTAGTTAGTCGCACTCGATGACCTGGCATCCCCGACAGATAAAATACTGGAGATTTCTAGCAGAC